GCATGAATAAAGAAGTACAAACAGTATGAATAAATATTTTCAACAGATCTTCTTAGGCACCATTCTCTGCATTTTGTTCTCTCTCATACCCATGTGATTCCCATTTAAATCAGTGAGTTTGCATGGCTGAGCTCAGAATTTAGCACTGTTCCATGCTATTTTCACTATAACCCAGAATTTACAACTGACCAGATGGACATGAAAATGTGTTCACTATTAAATATATAAAATTCTTCCTGTGTAACACAAATAAAGAAACGGCTGATATGGTCCACTGAGCTGATTTCATATGAAATAATCTTTAAATAGTGACTTTTCATCCTAGACCTGAATTGGGCTACTAACTGGACATCATGCTGCAGTGAAAATTGTTTTCAGTTTTCTCATACGATAGAATTATAGGAGCACATTGAGATTGCATGGACATTTTTGTTTTATGCCATATGCCTTTCTGTTTTACCATATTTCTAGAGCTCTGTGTGGATACAAAATGTGTATCCATATCGGCATCCATAACCAGAAAAATGGCACACAGATCTCCCCATCCACATCCGTGGATGTGGATACCAATGAATATAAAGTGGATATCCACAAATTTGCATGATCCAAAATGTGTATGCACATCTGCATCTGTAGCTGCAAAAATGAGCTGTAGATATCTGCAATGATATCCACAGACATGGATATCCGTGGATATAAAGCAAACATCTGCAGATTTGCAGGGCTTTACTTCTTCCTACATCTAGCAACTATAATAATTGGCAAACCATCAGAAATGTAAGGTGATAAGTTAGATAGCTAAATATAATCTGTCACACATCTCTCCCCAGAACTAGTAGAGAGGCAGCAGCATGAGGGGGCAGCTAGCTTCCCAGGAGCCAGTGCATGCCAGGAGCCAGATTTTAAGCTCCCAACCTTGCTCCCCACCTCATTCCCAGCCTTGCTCCCGGGGAGCCGGCTGCTGCCCTGCACTGTGGGCTCTGATATATTTCTACTAAATTTTCATTTGGGCATGTATATGCAGCTGAAGCCTGCCCCATTTCTAAATTCAATCATACAAACTGGCTTTTAAAACTGAGTTTTGCTTTAATAGTTTCATAGTCTCTGAAATATACTATTAAATCCTGTACTCATGAGATGGTTCCTACTTATTTTTCTTTTTCTAGAGTAATAGTTCAACCTCAGAATAACCTTGCCATTTACTAAATGAGCCAATTAAGTTTACATTTTCAGGAGGTTTTGAGTTTAATTATCACTGTTGAAAGATACCTCTCCATTAGTTTTGTGCAAACACGACAAAGAAAACTTTAGGTCATTGATGGATTCTTGTTTTATGCAAGTACTTTTCCAAGTATGCAAGCTAACTGTGATCAAGACAGTTGTCAACTGAAAAAAAAATTAGGGCCATGAAGTGAAATAGATCAATGAAAATCCTCTTTTTAATTTTCTTTAGAATCCCACTTGGAATGTATCTTCAGTGCAGATTATAAGTCAAATAGTGCTTGTTCAAATTTTTTTTCTTAACTTTCTTCCTATTTTTACAATATTGAACATGTTTGCTTTTCTGAACATTAACCAGGTTATTTATGTGAACATCAATCCAGCGCTCCACTCATTTAATAAAAATGAAAAGATGAATTTTCTATTGAAGGCTGTATTCCTCTGCAGTTGTATGCATTTCATTCCCATTGTATGGTTCTTTACCAAGTACAAACAGAGCTCTTCTATTCCCTGAGGACAAAGAACAAACTGTTTGGGGAAAAAATATCTACAAAATCGTAAATCTTTCTCCTATTTATTCTTCATGCCATTCAGTCACATTTAGAGAATGGCTAATTAACTCTAGACTCATGGCTGACTCAGATGGGCCAACTTTCTCTTATATGGTAAGATGTAGCCAAACTTTCAGATACTTTCTAGTAGACTGCAGCTCAACATTTTCCTCATTTCTGAACTTGTATGGCTACTTGTCAAATGCAGTATTCTTAACTTGAGAGTCAACTTCACAACCAATGAAAGAAACCAACACCCTTCCTAATATTTGGATCACCAGAAATACTGCAAATAAAGGGACAATGTCAGGCCCAATGTTATTTTGTATTAAATGTTCAACTAATTTCCCAAATGAGACTATCTCCACTGTACAATATTTAAGAATTGGTAAGTTCATCAATCTTTCCTAATTCTGCAATACAAATAAATAGATTTTCTGTGTATATCCAGTTCTTTATTATTGTGATTAAAATTATTCTGTTTAAAGAAATCTCTGTCTTTTAAGAGTTAATGTGCTAGTTGTACACTGTGCATCACCAATATATTGAAATATACAGAAAGCAGCAGTTTTACAGAATGCTTTTCTATTATAAAAACTTACTGCAAAAATAATACTTTGTTAAATTACTATAATCAGTGAAAAACAACAAACGGTTGACTGTGTTGTGTATGTAATTAGTCAAAGCCAATGCATACTGTAAAAAAAAATTGCCCAGTGATTTAATATATTAGAGATCTGTATTATTAAACCATATTGTATAATTGTAACTTATATCCATAATGAACATGTATTCTTGAATTTTAGGTCCCATTTTCAATCTATAATACAGTACACAACATTTAGAACCCTGAAGAAAAAAAATAGGCCCCATTATAAAAAAAATTCTACTTTTAAATTGTTTCATGTTGACAAGTCATACAATTGAAAGCAAACTGTGTTAATCTTATCCAACTTCTACTTGGATATCTCATACACTGATGTCTGAGTTGCTGTAACATGATAAATGGCAGAACTGCAAAGAAACACTATATCCTTAATCTTAACTGTACATTGCAAAGAGCAGCATTGAGTGTTTTTAATGGAATGTGCAAATGTAAACAATATGTTGCATTCAGGGAAATTCTGAAAATACATTATTTTACCAAAATCCCATAAGATTATCTTGTACTATTTCCATTATTTTCTTTCTCAAGTGGTCCTAACCTTGCAGTCCTTGTAGAGGCAGATATCCTCCAAAAATGAATGAATCAGGTCCATTACTAATTTGCTTATTTTGGGTGTCACTGGAGAGCACAGCCTTCAAGATAACTTGTTTGTTTCCTTTGTCAGTTGTCTTTAACTTTGACTGTGAGTGATCTCACATTTCTCAATTTTGGAAGTGTTTGTCATGTTCCAGTTTTTGGGACAATGTGATATCAGTAAGAGCCCTGTCTTGTATTCCTTACTCAGACCAAAGCACCATTGAAATTAGAACTGTGAAGTGAGGCTCCAAATGATTCAGGCAGGAGAAGCAAGCAAAAAGATTCCAGCTGGGAGGGGGAATATTTATTTGCTCACCCACATCACTTCTGGTTTCCCAGATGAGAGAGGAAATCTCAAAAAGAAAGCACAAGGAGGACTTCACGGGGCTTTGGAGAAACAGATTTAATGGGTTTAATGTGTGCCTAAATGTGATTTGAGTTTTTCAACCCAGAACTTTTTTGGGAGAAAGAATAAGGCAAATGCTGAAAGCAATTGGACAAAACCTGTAAGCTTTGTATCTTATCTATGAGAATCAGGCGACGTGTGTGATGCTAGTTTTTACAGTCATAGTCTATAGTCTTCCACTGATAAAATCAAAATTGACAGTAACACAATATAGAGGTTTAACTGACGGCACACACAGCACATTTGCTAGTCATAACACCACAGTTTTAATGACTGACCCATGTGGGAAGCTAATTCAGATTTTTTTCTGAATGGGATAAATGAGCATCCAGTTAATACCAATCATGAATTCAAGCCATGTGACAAAATTGATGCCACATACCCTGTTCTTGTTTTGCATATTCTGCAAATTGAACTGCAGGAAAAGAGCCAGTTTGTACACACATCCGGAGAGAAAGTTCATTCTGCATTTTGACACATCTACCAACTGCAGCTAAATGTATCCTGCTTGCTGCTGTTGTGTCCACAAACTAATCAGCTTTTATCTGTTAAATAGCCTAAGAATTACAAATTGTATGCCTGTTTTGAGGAAAAAGTACAGGTTATAGAATTATACAAGCAGACATAGTATAAATAAAATATTCATATAAAAATAGTCTCTTACAAAATATACTCTTATCCTATGGTTCATTTTCCAAAAGGTGGAAGTTTGTCTGGAGTTTCATATTAATTTTTGATGTATTCCAAACTGGATTTTCATAATGCTCCTCTTTAATTGGAAAAAAATGTATTGTAAAGAGATTATAATCACTACCAGTTTGATTTTCCAGACAACTAGCAGCAAACAGAAAAAAATATAAAAGATGCCTGCTTTTTGTACTTAAACAACTAGTACTGCAGAAAATATCCTGCAAATCCAACTAGTAGAAATATTCGAGTAAAGAATAATATATACAGCTTCAGTTTTTCCTTGCCGTATCTACAAAATAATTATTCCACAAAGAAAGCAAGCTATCTACTTTAATTGCAGAATAGTTCCAAAAATGTTGGTAGAGTTCTTTTTTATTTAAATAAATTAATATTAGTTTTATCTGAATAAATTGTTAAATATTGCTATTATTATGCCCAGATGTCCCAAATCCCTGTGCTAAAATCTGCAGCACACAAAAAAAAAAAGGCAGATAAACCAGTGTCTATGGAAAACTTCAACAGTTCTACTTGCTGTAGCAAATTGTGTGAAATGGAAAGACAGGCAAGACCAGCAGAAGCTTTTCACAAGTGTAGAAACCTAAATCTGCATAATCCACACTTAAGTAGAAATTCACACAGGGGCATTGTCACCCCCATCCTGTGCAAAGACCATTGTAAAGTTTTGTTTTGTTTCCCCCACCCAATCCACCCCTTATGCACAGTAGCTTGTGTGTTTAACCATCTTTTTCCAAACCAAAAGAGTCAGTTGCCAACTCCGAGATTTTTTCACTTGACTGGTGTTCTTTTCATAAGGCAGTCAAGGCATTAAGCTTTGGAGGTGCAGATTAGTTTAGATGACTTTTTTCCTCTGTTTTGTGTCTCAGGTGGCTTTTTTTTTTTTTTTTTTGGATAATGTAGACAAGTCTTTAATGTGTCTCCATATAAGTATTGAAGCATGAAAGGAAAAGACGGATCCGTTCATTAGCTTTTCTTTTGGAAAAAAAGTAGGTCTTTGCTACAGTCTGGTGTAGGTATGTTGAGCTCATGTGCAAATGTATTCATTCCTAGAGATCTAGAATCACCCGTCCCAGTCACACTTTCATTTACAGGTGTACACTTCTGTTCTTTCACTGCATGTATTACACTTTACGTAGCAGCACCAGTGAAATTTACAGTTGCACTGCCACACTCGTGAGTACTGATGAGTATTGTAGCCTCGACCGCAACACATCAGATCACAGCCATTGGACTGCTGGGCTGTTTTGTTGCACATTCTGCCCTGTGTTCCCACACTGCCAGTGACAGGGTCTTCTTCACAGTAGTTTGGAGATTTTTCTATGTACACTAAATCTGTATCCATGGGTTTGCGGTAGGACAGTGGCTTCTTGATTTTAAGGAAGGTTGGACGCTTGTTGCGACTTGCCCTCACTGGTTCAACCTGAACAGCTTCATTGTATTTGTCCTTAAGGATGTAGCCCAGTTCCCGGAATTTAGGAAGGGTTGTCCAGCATGTCTTAGTAGTACAAGATCCTGAAACGCCATGGCATTTGCATTCCAATTTCATGTTTTCTTCAAGAATCTAGATTTGAAAAAACCCACAGAATGTGTTAAAACAATAAGACCTCATTGAAGGCACATTGATCTGAGGTAATGAAAACTGTGGTTCTCAAATGTGCTCTTTATCACAATGGCTACCAAACCCAGGGCAAAATTCATGCCCACCCAGGCGGCAGATCTCACTTGTTACCTATGTAATTGTCACAGGCATCAAACCCCTATGGATGTCAACTGAGTTCTGTCTGCAGAATATGCCCAGCTGATTCCCTCCCCACTCCATGTTGATCAGAGAGGAAAACTTTATCCAATGTCAAATAAAAGCAAAAATGAGGTCTTTACCAACCAACAGTGGTCTACACATCGCTTACTGTTTATACAGTGTCCAGCACAATGTGTCTATATTGCAATTTTGGCATATGCCAAGAAGATGGGGGGGGGGGGGAGCACAGATAACACATCTATGGTACTTTCACATGAAATCTCATACATACCACATTCTGAAAAAGCAATGATTTTTGCTACAAACAGATTTTGCAAGCCAACTGGGGAAACACATTCTATTCCAATAGTTAGACCTGAAAATGGCATGACAAAAAACCTACTGAAAAACACTGAAGGAAAATTTTCACCAGTTTTGTCTCATGGTAATGTATAGATGGACATAAACACATGTAATGCTGCATCTAAGAAACCCTATACTGTACATTACTTTCCTATGTATTAGTTTTATTATGTGCCTGGTACTCATAAGTCTATTCCCACTGTGGAAAATAAAAGACCCCTTAGTCTGTAAAATTCTCAGCCTTCATTGTAGTACAACTGTAGCTTTGTCTTGCAGTGTAAAAAAGGGATAGGAAAGAGAAGGGCAAATTCGTTACCATTTTAATTTTTGTCATCAATTACCAAAGTTTTCTGTTCTCTCTTTTGTTGGATATTGCTTACCACTATTAAAGCAGTACTTGTTCGACCTGGTCTGTATCTCTCCCCACACACCACTCCCACCTCTCCTCTCCTATTTTTTTCCCCTGTAAAAATCTCTTTTCTGCCTTTTGTCAGCCTAGATTTCTCATCCCACTGTTGGCTCCTTTCAGCCCCCAAATCACTTATTGTACCAGTCGTCTGGTTTCCAGCTCCTGGCAGAAGACTGACTGACAGACTTACTACTCACTGTATGAGCCCTGTAATTGAGTTTACATAGACGTGTGTAGGGTTAATGTAAGAAAAGACATGAATGTCATATACTTCATTTAGCACTGATATGCCAAATTATGGCAGGTGAGACAGGTGTATCTAGCCTGTAGTATTATTTTCTGTGTCTTAAACTGATAGGCTGCGTCTAGATTGGCATAATTTTCCAGAAATGCTTTTAACGGAAAACTTTCCCGTTAAAAGCATTTTTAGAACAGAGCATCTAGATTGGCACGGACGCTTTTCCTCAAAAGCACTCTTTGCGGAAAAGCGTCCGTGCCAATCTGGACGTGATTTTCCGCAAAAAAGCCCCGATTGCCATTTTTGCGATTGGGGCTTTTTTGCGGAAAACAAATCTGGGCTGTCTACACTGGCCCTTTTGCACAAAAGTTTAGCACAAAAGGACTTTTGCCCAAACGGGAGCAGCATAGTATTTCCGCAAGAACACTGACAATCTTACATGAGATCGTCAGTACTTTTGCAGAAATTCAAGTGGCCAGTGTAGACAGCTGGCTAGTTTTTCCAGAAAAGTGGCTGATTTTCCGGAAAAACTGGCCAGTCTAGACAGAGTCCTGATGTCTGCAGAAGAGGAGGCTCTAGCAACAAGGCCTGCAACCTTCTTTCTCAAGGATTTGCAGCTGTCCAGCACAACTCCAAAAGTGAGCAGTCTCTTGGAAAGGGAATGGCCAAGCTGACCTGAAACTTGGAGCATCCCTTTAGCAGCCTTTGGTCAATGCATCTCCCATGGATTCCCAACATCAATGTAAAGCTCCCCTTCCCCTATGCAACCCTCTCAGAAGAGCAAACACTGTCTGTTCTTTTAGGGACACACTGTCTGGGTTGTTATAGGAAGACAGAGACTGCATGAATGGGGACAAAACCAACTCCACATACTCAAAGAAACAGAGCAATGTGTCCTTAAGACAGTCTTAAATCACAACACAAGCTTCTCAGCATGTGTGCTACTTATCAACTTTGTGGCTGGGGTTATCTGGTGTTGATAGATCATACCACACTAATACCAACCCTGGTACCTTCCCTTGCAACAAACCCCGTTGCCAGCTTTGTCCACATATTCATTCTGCTGATACCATTATTGGACCTAACCAAGTGAGTTATAAGATCAAGAACACATATTCCTGCGCATCCAGAAATATAATCTACGCTATCATGTGCCGAAAGTGTCCGTCTGCTATGTACATTGGACAAACATCTCAGACACTTCGCCAAAGGATTAATGCCCACAAAACAGATATTAGACAAGATCACAAAGAGAAAACAGTTTCTTGCCACTTTAACCAGAAAGGACACTCTCTAAATGACTTAGCCACCTGCATTCTGCTACAAAGACCTTTTACATCTGCACTTGAAAGGGAATCCTCTGAACTGTCATTCATGTTAAAATTCGACACTTACGGACAAGGACTTAACAAGTCTTTGAACTTTCTCACCCATTATCAAGACAGTTTCCCCAATTATCACCTGTAATACCATTAACTCACAAACATCCCACTCTCCCTACCTTTAATATCAGCAATTCACAGACACTTACCTTCCTTCCTCCCCCTTCCCACCCCCCCGCATCCTCCTTCTGTTCTGCAATGTGATTTGTCCTTTTCATATTTGTTCATTTTTTTAAATTGTATCCTTTGGTATATATGGTTGTGACTACTTTCTTCCACTATTTGATCTGAGGAAGTGGGTCTGGCCCACGAAAGCTCATCATCTAATAAACCATCTTGTTAGTCTTTAAAGTGCTACATTGTCCTGCATTTTGCTTCAACTACCCCAGACTAACACGGCTACATTTCTATCACTGTTAAAGTTGGTGTTACTAAAGACCGAAACAATCAAGCTCCTTTAAGCCTTGCAAGTAGAGGTATTATACTTATTGCTCTTCTGTACTGTAGCTTAATGGGCCGTATAGTAACTTCTATTTCTGAGCCTTCTGAGGAAGGTTGGGACAGAGCTGTGTTTCTGCCACCATAACAATTTCTAGGCTTTTCGCCTTTTGTTTGAATTTTCCCAACAGTGAAGAGTTGGCGTTCAAAAAACATTAGCTGTGGCTTCAGTTTGCTTTAGTTCCACGTGTTGAACTGTCAAGGAAGTCACTGAGAGTGGACTGGTCTGGTGCCATGAGTGGGAAAGTGTCTAGAGAGTATAATTCTGAGCAGATTATAGCAATAATTTTGGGGTATAATAGGCTGCCTTTAGAGAAATTACAGGCGAGTTTGCCTTCAGATCCAAATGTAATGACTCTCAGTGATCTATCTAATAGATGCACCAAAATCTAGATCTGGGAAAGGTTAGCTTCAGAAGCACATCTGAACAGCTTGGCAACTCTGCTTAAAATTAGGGTACATCTAGACTGCAGGATTTTTCCGAGATGCCAGAAGTACCCCGGGAAAAACTCCGCCATGTCCAGGGATCACATTTGCTCTTCCGCTTTTTTTTGCAGAAGAGCAAACCTGCTCTTTTTGAAGCCCTGTCTTCCTTGTTCTATGAGGAAAAAGGGATCTTCTGAAAGGGGAATTTTCCAAAATTTGGCCCAGAGTAGACAGGCCAAATTTCAGAAAAGCCTCTTGTGAAAAAAAATCGGAAAAAGGTGTAGTGTAGATCTAGCCTTAGGCTTACATTACGAGTTATTTTGAGATACTCCCTCACTCATTCAGTTACTGGATACTTTGTCTTTTATTGCATTGCTCAGGGGTAGCAATAAAACAGCTGCAGCCACCACTATATTTGTCTGCACCTCTGCAAGTACCAGTGATTGCAGCTCCCGTTGGCCATGGATCACCGTTCTCGGCCAGTGGGAGTGGGAGGAAGCAGCATGGCCTGGGACACCACTTCACCTGTTGTGATCCCTCCGTCTGGGGCATCTGGTGCTGGCCACTGTCATCAGACAGGATACTGGGCTAGATGGACCTTTGGTCTGACCCAGTATGGACGTTCTTATGTTCACGCAGCTCCTATTGGCTGGGAACAGTGATCCACAACCAATGGGAGCTGCAATCACCAGTACCTGCGGAGGGGCAGGTAAATATAGCACTGGGGGCCTGCCAAGGCCTAACCCTGGTGGACTGGATCTGGCCTGCAGGCTGTTAGTTGCCCACCCCGGCATAGTCAGTTATAAGAGTAGCACACCAAGGAGATAGATGGAGACAAAAAAGGATCCATAGCTCAGCAACTTGAAAACAATATGGATTCTTTCAGCCATATTTGTAACGGATCTGTCTTTTGAGGTGATCTGTTATACCGATATAGTATTAATAACGTCTCTTGTTCAAGAGGTTGGTTTTGTAGCCTAGTGCAATGTTCAGAGTGGTGAGAAAAATAATGATGTCTAACAACTTTGTACTAACTTTCACATGAATCCTCCCTCAGGATAGTACAAAGTCTTGAAATGTTAATGAAAATACATCATGGATGGTTTATTGTCAGTTGTCATGAGGTTTTCATCCTTTTCTCCCCCTCCTATTCCCCTCCCCCCCCCCAAAGAGAACTTAGGCTATTTCATTAACATCCTGTTTACAGACAGTGATCACTGAGGGAATAAACAGTTCAACTGGAAAGAGCTGAGCAAGCTGATTCAATGGATCAGCAATTGAAAGGACCCATGCCATGTGTTGAGCTTGCTGTTCTGGGTGAAGCATCTTGATGCCAGCTGGAACTAGCTTAGGAAGTTTTCTGTTCTCAGGACTGGGCGCAAGCAATTGGGATTAAAAGACCTGACTTCATTTGAACATGATCCTTTTGAATACTAGCAAATGAGCCTGACTATTATGAGTTCTTTTTAAAGAACCAAAAATATGATGTTATATTGTGCCATACCTG